ATTGACTGCCAAGCCCTACACATAATATACATGTTGCACAGCCTCAGGAGCGATAGTAGGGATGTTGTGAATGTCTAGGGTCACGGTACATTGCTGATGCGCTCGGGTCGTAAACCTGCTGACTTGATGCAGTAGGTGGCGAGCGATTCGGCATCGTGGCATATGCTGCTCGGTCCGTGGAGGCTGTGTAAGCAATGTTGTGGGGCACTATTGGTTGCTGGGCAACCTGATATGGACTGTAGCCATAGAGTGGTGGATTTGTTGGTGCACCGGTGTGCAACGATGGTGCCGGATGATGTGTGTAGGGCGATGTTTGATCCCATGTGGAAGGCACATTTGAGCCCAGTGGTGGCTGAGTAAACAGATATTGAGACGGTGCGACCGATTGATGTTGTGCGTTGTGGTCGGCTATGGCGATAGGTGTGGCGTATGCCTGCGGAGATGACCATGTTGAGTATGCATCATTGTCGAAACTTGACCAGGAATGGCGATCTGATCCATGAGAGGGTGTTGGCAATAATGTATTGTACACGTGTGAACTGTGGGAGAGATAGTCGTCGTCATCAGGATAGCTTGACAAGCCTGCCGGTGTACCACAATCGGATGGAGAGCTTGGAGCATTGGGCAGGGTGATACCCTGATTCTGATATCTCCGCACGAGGACAGTGTATCTTGAGATCATCAAAAACAAGTCCCAAAAGCAAGAGTAAGTAACATACCGATTCTTGATATCATTCTTCGATCTGCCAGGGAAATGTTCACGTTGAATATCCTTCCAGTGTCGTCCGAGTCTCTGAACTGCATCGATAAGTGCTGCGTCCTGAGAAGCGCTTATTAGCTCACTGAAGTGTGAAATATGCTAGAACAATGTTCACTGACATCTGAGTCGCGCCATTCACTTCGGTCTAGATCAGGATCAAGTGACTGCTGCCACCGCTTCGCGCACTCTAATCATCGATCAGCGATGAACGCAGCTATCATCCATCAAACTTACGATCTGCACTACGTGTTCCGACGCAGTTTGCAACTACCGTCCATCTAAGAATACAACAGTCAGCTTCTGTACTTTCCCCCAAAATTTGTTTCATTTAATCATACTTTTGGCCGTACTGCTGAACACCTCTTGAAAGCAACTGATCTTCACTCTTTGACCATTGTCCTTTCTTCAGGCCTCCTGCTACCGAATTGTGCCATCGTTTTCTACAGTCCTTGTTCGTTCGTCCGGGGAGGCTATCGGCAATTCTGCACCTAGGCATCTCATTAGTTGCGGAATCAACTGGCGTGATATTTGACCTACCAATCCTTGACTTCTCCTTCTACAACTGATGATATCCAGTTAGCTCAATCGAAGAAAGCTGGAGGATAACAAGCACAGCTTACGTTGTGCTTCCACTTCTTCCCGAAGTTTCTGATCTTCCGCCAAAGACCATTTTCGAGGTTGACGACTCGAGTGGTCCATTAGAGCTAGGATATATTGGAACCTTGTCTTCTAGAATATGCGTGTATATCCAACAGGGAAACGTTCTAACAACGGAAAAGAGTGCAGTGGAAAAGAGGGAAGATGTCTAAAGGCGTTAAGAATTCCAAGAAGCTTCCAAGGTTATCTTGTATTGGTCAAGTAATAGTGGTAGAAGACGAGTAAAGAGTGCAAGACTATCAGATATGTAGACATCGTGAAGAGCCGACAACAAGCTTAGGCGGAAAGCTAGCGTAATAGTAATCCGTCGTCTTGGCAAGCCAGGTACTTGGGTATAGCGGAGGTTAGACGGCAAGGGACAGTATGCCAAGCTGTATTGTTCGAGGTCGATGCTCGGTTTGGTTAGCGGGCGCGCTGACCTACAGCGTTTTCGAAACAATCGAGTAACGAACATGTTCCATGCATATCAATGGGGCTTCACAGCCATGACGCGTGCGCTTAGGGCTAATGCATCGTCTGACGGGCCGTTGACCAGGTGGTGTGTACAGCCCCCAAAGGATTCCCGCATGGCTAAGACCCTGTAGGTAAGGCTGCATGGACCATACACCGCTAACCCCCCCAGGAACACTAGAACTTAGCAACCGGTTGGAACAAGCTTATTGCTCCACAGGATATGCCATGTAATTGCCAGGAACAGCAAGTTACACGCATGGCATGCCTGACGTAACAGTCGTTCATTGCCGATGTATTTTCTTCTACCCTCTGTGGATCGCACCCCACTTACCAATGGCAGAAAGTACACTGGAAGCGACTCGAAAGGAAGAAACAATGGTCGATGTGTATGTCTTACTTCAAGCAAAACAGGAACGATGTAGTCGCTCGATGAGGAAGTCCATCCATGTCCGGTTTCGAGTTGATTTTAGAGAGGTTACATAGTGGCTGAGCTGTAGACTCATATCGGCCCACGCTGATCATCTCAACGAGACCGCCGAAGGGATCTCCGAAATGAATCAGGCCAATCGATAGCTACAAGGAACTAGCGAAGTGAAGTTTGCGATGTGCGTGATACGCTTTTGTTGGTACACCCATCACAATCACAGTCAACGAGGAGTGGCAATATCGCTCACGTTTAGTGACAGTTTACGCCCTGGTCTTGCAAATATACAGTAAGCTCTGATATAGACAGCGGCTTGTATGGTACTGTATTGTTGGGATCAGTTCATTCTGCTGCAGGTGCTAATCACTACTGCCGGTGTACCTTTGCCGGCACGACAGACGGCGAGTGCATCGGTCGCGAATTTGAGGACCAAAAGCCAGATAAACTGAATGTCTTCCGGTAGGCAGATTACTGTTCGTGTCGCAAGTTCACGTGGGGAGTTATGGGATGTACGACAGGAAGTGAGCGAGAGTGCGAAGATCATCAGGCCTTAGTGCTTGTAATTCGTCCCATTCGGCAAGTGCAATCGGTCGTTTCTGGCCAGGTGACCGCCGCCGTTCACCCTGCGCCTCTCCGCTATATATCAAAGCAACAATATGGATTTACATAGCTGCCTGGCGGAGTCGGATTTGATATTGTCGTTGAGATTCTGCCACCATACCGAGCTGGGTTGCACCCTGGCCCACCGCCGGCTGTCTCAGGGCTGGATGTAAGGCTGGATATGCGACATCACACAACATTGATGCACGGTAATCTCGAGTGTTCCGAGGAACGTAATTGAATGGACAAACGAGTTGATTCGCTCAGATGTTCCGTAGAGGTATATCCATTGAGTCGTACACCTGACCTAATCTGATTGTGGGCCTTCCGGTTTGTGAGAGAGTGCCGTCTATTAGTCGCCGGGTGGTGCGCTGCTTCCCCAGATGAGCGCGTATGACAAAAACCTAGCCATTGTCGTAACCGCCCGGCATGCGTTAGATGGCATTGACCGACCGGACTTTGTATCTGCCAAAAGGGCAGCAGCAGGTCCAGAGAAGACAGATCGATACCGTTGTTGCAAGTCGCAGTGATGTCTCTAGTGCTGATTGACACGCGGAGTTGAAAATGGCGTGGCTACAGCAATGGCTTCAGCTGACGCAGGTATACCCGTCGCCATGAACTGAAGATGACAGCATCCCCCTTGTGTCATGCTGATGCTTCAGGTCTTGCCCATAAGCCTTTGCGCTTTAGCAAGCAGAACTGTACTCTCTCGCCCCAATTTCCTCTGTCCATTCGGCCCCCTCGCTTTGGCCATAGTTTTTCTGAAGCGCTCGCGCTCAGCGACTTTCTTGGCACGCTCCTTGTCCGCTTCCTCCCTCACTCTTTGCCGCGCCTCAATCTCCTCCCTCTTTTTCTGTGCTACTTCGGTCTCTTTCAGAAAGGGCTGTGGGCGTGGTCGCCGCTGCCGTCTCTCGAAGTTCTGCTTGGGTTCTGGCTCGGGTGACTTCTCTTCTAGCATTGCGACGCGATCAGGATGCGGCTCCAAAGTGGGCTCTGGTACAGGCTCGGTAGACGCCTCTTTCTCACTCTCGTTCTCGTCTTCATTATCGTAGGCAGATTCGCGATCGTAGACGGACTTGCGCGGCGTCGTCGCTTCGTTTTCTTCGCGAGCCTTGAGCTTTGCGTACTGCTTCTTCAGCTTTGCCTTGTTGATGAGGCCTTTCTTAATCTTTTCGACTACACGCAGAGTCAGTAAATGAACTGTATGATATGGCGCGAGCACATGTGGGCAATCGCGTAGTTGCCTATTGGATCATAACACCACGATACCCTCATCCAAGTTTCCGCTGTCATAGAAACCTCTGTAAAATCAGTCGAGCAGACATACTTTTCCGTCTATGGGTACCATCGGGTAGGTTGGCGGGACCGATAGCAAATCGATTTTTTTGTTTCTTGACAGAAGACTTTGCGTCTCCTTCATGCGGTCGTTTGACACCCATATTGGAGGCTGCGGGATGTCGGAAAAGTTCAGAGTCGCCGTACGAAGATACTCGCGGACAACGCGAGCCGATTTCATCCAGCCTTGGCAGAGTGGGGCGCGACGTAGAGCCGGTCACGAGTCCTTCGACCACCGCGACGGGCGATGGACTCATGCCTCAGCTTTGTGCGCCGTCGCATCTATGCACCCAATATTCACGCCTCCCGCGGGGACGTGCAGGAGCATCCGGTAGAGATATTCTTTTTCGTCGTGTGACACGTCGCGTCGGCCAATACCGGTTCGGTGGCACGAGCGACTTTATCAGCAGCGATTAGGAAACTTCCGTCTTGTAACAAAGCTCCCAGCGCGTCATCCGTCCCGGTCCCTGCGTTCCTCCTCTCCGCACCTCGAATTGGGGCGCTCCACGGTGTTTCGTCCTAAAACTGGGCAGTATGACTGTACAATGAAGCGGCCACTGGAGCCAACGCACCCGATTTAAACTGGAAACTCTTACTCATTTCATTCGCCGGGCCAGCAGCTGCTCCAACCGCTTGACCTCACTGTCTCCGCCTTCCTCACGACCTGCCTTTTGTACTCCACGACTTTCACGGTCGCGAACACGCCACTATTCTCTGAGTTTCATTAGATATCTATACCCATGCTGTTCATTGCAACTATTTGTTACAACCATGCCCATATTTCATGATCCCCATGATAGTCCGCCGACATCGTCATTCTTGCCTCAGGCATCGGTCACAGGCTTTCAGAGAGCAGACACTTCGGAATTCGCTGTAGAGAGAAGTCTGGAATCCGCCATGCAATCAGAACCATCGAAAACCGACATGTCCCTGGATAGGGACCCTGAGTCCCCTAGTCAAACGCGCAAGCCATTTATGTTCGGACGGAAGGAGTGGATCGAGAGGATCAAGAGGACGAATAGCCCATCGTGGCTGCAGCGGCAGGGTGTGAGTACCCGGAGACCTAGGGAGCATCTGCAAGGAGTTTGTTGGTCGATGTAGGGAATACTGATAATGTAATATAGGGCGAAGTCATGACTGAATGCGATGCCTCCACCCGACCGACATCGCAAGACCGTCCGGACACACCTCTAGTCTCGTCCACCGAGCCGCAAACCTCACGAATCTCTACCCCGGAACACCTTCGAGATCCTGCAGCCGTTGGCCTGGATATCGAACGCCCGCGATCCGCGTTACACTCCGGAGACTTCAGAGAGAAGAGAGCAGGCGCAACATCTGAGAATGACCATTCGTCTTCAGGCTTCCTAGCAACTTCGCCAGTTGTCCCTTGGAATCGCTCATTCCCAACCTCAGTCTTTGCCCCACAACACAAAGACGTCTCGTATCCGGGATCGCGCATCGATGACAATCGTACAGCTGCACGAGCACGGGCGATATCGCAGTCATCACAGTCACCGTTCAGTTCGTTCGCCTTCCTACCACCCACAAGCCCGCTTGTCCAGCAGGCAAATAACACAGACTTGGACTTCTCCTCAACCCCAAGCTCGCGGCAGGGATCTCGAAGTCCTGATAGAGACCATCGCCGACATACATACTCTCCTGCATCCTTTGGTAATTACAAGCCCACCCAGATGGCGCGATCTGCGACTGGCACTCCAGCTGCTCGGCATCTACGCCATAGTAGTTCGATACCATACCAGGCACATCAACCTCGACGATCGATGACGTTCAATCAGTCTGAGCCTCATTCTCATTCGCAAACGCCGTTCCTCCATGCACGGCGCCCCTCCTTCTCGTCGGAGGCATCTCCATTGCAGCACGCTCCCATGGTTGGGTCTTACGAGGAGTCGATACTACGGGGGCGCATGTCTACTACACCATCACGGCCTCTCGACTTCGTCGCTAAAATTGGAGTACTTGGCAGAGGGCAATGCAAATCAAGCCTTAAATGTCCACCTCATGTCACGGTACCCTTTCCAGCAGTCTTCTACAGCTATAACACAGGCAACGGTAGGATTTCAGACAATGAGCCGAGTCCCTATGTTGGGCATATTGATCTAGAAAATTCATTGCCACCGCCAGATGAAAGCAGTGAGAGTGGTAGACGTAAGCGACGACATGTTGTACCTGCCCCTGATCAAGACGATCTCGATTTCAGGATAAACCTTGGAGAAGAGGAGAATGGTCAAGGTGCAAGAGGAGACCTTCGTCGGAAAGAGAAGAAAAAGCGACGATCAACATCACCCAAGGCGCCTCCCGGGGGCTCTTATCGTATCCCGCCACAAGGTCAGCTCCAGATCGTGTTAAAGAATCCAAACAAGACAGCAGTCAAGCTTTTCCTAGTTCCGTACGATTTGTCGGATATGGAACCTGGCCAGAAAACTTTCATTAGACAGCGTAGCTACTCTGCAGGGCCTATTATCGATATGCCCGCATCATCACGAAAGAATCTGGGCACCGACCGTCCAGAAGCTGCTATCAGCAATTCAGATGACCCAAACGACCGGCCAATTCTGCGTTACCTAATCCACCTACACATATGTTGTCCTTCAAAAGGTCGCTACTATCTGTACAAAAGCATACGAGTCGTTTTTGCGAATCGAGTACCGGACGGCAAAGAAAAGCTCCGAAACGAGATCCAGCAACCGGAGCCCAGATATAGCACGTACAAACCGATGCGAGAAGCAACGTCATTGCAAAAGGCACAGTCAACTGGATCCCAGCTTACCACGGACCGAGCTTTCCGTCGGCGCAGCGCTGGATGGCCACTCTCGCAGTCTCAGCAAGCATACGGACAGCTGGATGGCCTGAAGCAACACACACCACTACCTCCCCCAGCTGTCAAATTCACCGGTGGCACCACCAATTCCTCAGCATCGAGCGGCTTCAGCTCGCCTGTACCAGAATTGCAACCCATACCTTTTAGCCTTGGTCGCCTTGCTGCGATCGATTCGCGGCCTGTTTCCCGTGACCGCATGGATGTTGATCCGAAGAGCCCATTCAGAACGCCTATAACATCACCGCGAGCTGGCGTAAGTAGTTTGAATAATCGGAGCGACGGCACTTTTGAGAAACTGAGCAAAGGCGATGTCGGCTATGGCGGGAATGCATTCTCGCCACTTGGTAGCCCCTCTGGTCCGCCCAACGCAGGTCTCCTGTCGCAGCGACTCCGCGGTTTGGATGTCCAGCGCAACGAGGAAGAGTAAGCTGCTTCACCATCTATGGGTCTTTGTACCATTTCTTGTATGTTTTATGTTCCATTAGAATACCCCATGATTCGTTGTTCCTTGCATCGGCGTTGTTGGATCTTGCATTAGATAGCGTATTCTCCCCTATATACGTTTTTTTACACGTGAAATGAATCAATCATATATGAAGCACCTTTTTTGTGAATAGAAACTCTGCCTGAAAAGCCACCTTGAAGATGCACGCCATACTTTACGATTGAGTCATAACAAGGGATTACACAAGGTCCAAATTCAGAGTTGCTTTCATCATGGGTGCAACTTGTTAGAAATGGGCTCCCTCGTACCATGCGCTCGGGTGCTGCAGCCGATTTATGCGTAGTGCTTGCCGAACTGAAATCTTAGCGTGCTTACGATCTAACGTTCGCGAAGAGTGACGTCGGCAATAATTCCGCTTGCAACTTGAACATTGGACGTCATAACCCGGATAACATCTTTAGTAGTTCTAACATAGACATCGCCAACTCCGTTCCAATTAAACCGTCGGAAATATCGCTGCATTATTCGCGAAAACAATGGCCTCCAAACGCGCCGCCCAGCTGTTCGGCGCCCGCTCTAATGCCTCGGTCATCGGCCAACGGACTGCGCGGTTGAGCTTCACCACTGCACGCGCTTTTAGCATTGCGCCTAATTCGCCAACCGCAAATGCTTTGAAGAGCAGATACGTAGTCGTAGAAAGCGCAGGGAGACTACAGGCTATCCAGGCGCAGAAGAGGTGGCACTCTCAAGCGCCAAATGACTTGAAGCAGAACAAACTTTACCAGTTCGACGACGTACGTCTACTTATTATGGGCCTGAATCCCCTCCAAACCTCTTGCTAATTCACAAAGGTCCTGCACATCCTCGAAGCCCCATCAGACTCACGCCTTCTCATCGACGTCCGCGAACCCCATGAATTCGAGAAAGACACTATCCCCACCTCCATAAACATCCCCGTCACATCACAGCCCGATGCGCTGCTACTAGATGAAGAAGAATTCCAGGATAGGTTTGGTTTTCAGAAACCACCGAAAGGGAAGGAGGTTGTCTTCTTTTGCAAAGCCGGAGTGAGGAGCTCGGCAGCTGCGGGGATTGCAAGGCAGGCTGGGTAAGTCGACGTCTCATACCGGAATGCACACCGAAATCCCACTGTGAAAGGCAGTAGTTTTCTTGAATTGAAAAAAACAAACAAACAGAGTACGCTTACTGATTCATATGGCAGATATATAAACATCGGCGAGTACCGTGGATCCTGGCTCGACTGGCAGAAGCGCGGCGGACCGGGCACAAAGTCCCCATCAAAGCCTGATGGCATGGGTGAACCTAAAGCCCCTACAACCGAAACAAAGCCTACAGCTAGGACGGGCGACAGTGGGGAAGAGGACCTTGGGCCTCAGGGACAGCCACCATATCCACCAGGGCCCATAGGCCGGCAGTAGATCTGCGATGTGATATAGAGCTAGACTATCAACAGATCACCTCATAGCATTGTCCGGAGGTTGTAAATATGAAAATGAAGATTGCACATATGACCGGCTCAAGATCACTGCACAAGCATATTGTTATGGTGACATTATGGTATTATAAAGGTAGAGTGGAGCTGTCTGCAACTATATGGCTTATCGAAAGAAAGGGAATGTCATCAAGAGAAGGTAACGGATGCGTTTACTGCGTGCCGCAATCAACACCGTTCGGTATCATCGGTCTAGAGCTTGAGCCTGACACTGTTCAATAGTTAGCATTATCAATTCGCGTAATTAGCTCAGTCGGGAGCTCACCATCTGCCAATAGACTCCCCTCTTCCTCAACAGTCCCTGATGATCACCCCTCTCCAACACCTTTCCACTACCCAACACGAAGATAATATCCGCTTTCTGGATAGTAGCAAGTCGATGAGCGACAGCAATCACAGTTCGTCCACCATCGCCAGCGGCGCGTTCAATCGCCTCTTGAACCAGTTTCTCGGATTCGGAGTCCAGAGACGACGTTGCTTCGTCTAGCAAAAGTAGTTTTGGTTTCCGTAGTAAAGCTCGAGCAAGACTAAGACGTTGTTTTTGACCACCAGATAGAGACATGCCTCTTGGTCCGAGACGCTGTGCGTATCCATCCGGCAAGGACGTGATGAAGTCATGGATTTGAGCGTCGCGACACGCTTGCTCAATATCTTCATCCGTCGCGGTATCAACAGACAAGGCAACATTTTCTCGGATTGTGCCTTCGTAGAGTGTGGGTTCTTGACTGACGAGACTGATCTGTTTGCGGTACTCTGAGGGGTCAAGGGAAGTGATGTCTTGTCCATTGTAGAGAATCTGACCGGATGATGCGTCGTAAAAGCGCTCAAGGAGGGAGATGGTGGTTGATTTGCCGCAACCGGATGCACCTACCAGTGCGATGAACTGACCAGGCTGGACTTGCAGGCTGAGATTTGACAATACAGGCACCTCTCGGCTCTTGTAGGTGAAGTACACGTTTCGAAACTCGATTCCTACCCCTTCTTCTGGTTTACTCAGTGGCGGGTATGATGGCGGCGAAGCGTTCTTCTGTGGACGCATACTGATGATACGATTAGCAGCACCGGTCGCTTGCGCCATGTTTGGGGCGAAGGAAAAGAATTGACCTGCTGCGATGGCACCTTGAACAATAGCTTGGTAGATGACGAAGAAATCGACGGTGTCGTACTCGCGGGAGGCCAAGAGGGTACCGCCATACCAGAAGGTAAGAGCCATACAAGCAAGCTCAATACTGTCACTCGCCGCGAAAACCAGGGTACCATACTTTGCACTTGAGAAGGCCGACGCAACGTGGCCCTTGAGCAACGTCTCGTAGCGGTGACCGATCATGTCTTCCATGATCAGACTAGATACGGTGCGGAATGCACCGACAGCTTCAGCCGCGAATTGACTGCTATTCTCAAAGACTTTTGCATTGGTCTTATCGAATTCAAGCTCTAGACGCACGCGAAGATACCCAGCAGCCAGAATTAATGGCAGTGCGGCAAAAAGACCAACTAGTGAGAGCTTCCAACCGTATACAAAAGAGATGATAACGCAGCCAACAACGTTGACAATGGCGATGCCCGCCATGGACATTTCGGTCGCCATCAGCTGCTGGATCTGTGTCGAGTCCGAACTTAGTCTCGCTGTCAGAGATCCGGGGCTATGTCCTTGGTCGTCAAAAAACGCAATGCGTTTGCGTATGAGGTTATCAAGATACTCTTGTCGATACTGCTTCGTAACCATGACAGCGATGAGATGACAAGCCGATCCCATGAAGAAGTAGGAGAGAAAAGTACTTGCAGCTAGCACACCGAACATGCCGGCCCAGAAGTTACCCTGACTAACGAGCTCATCCACTGGAAGGGTGAAGACGTTGACGACACTTGCGAAGATGTAGGCTTGCAGTGGGTAGACAGCACCGCTAGTCAGAATACCGAGAACGGCGACAGTGTATAATATCCAATGGTGGCGTTGCTCGTAGAGAAGACGTCCAAAGCTACCGAGAAGACCTTGCTGTTTGTATTCCGGATCTGCTGCCGCTTCAGATACCTGATTGCTGTGTTTGTGCTCCTCGATGATGGTGGCATCTGTGCTTTTTACCTTCTCGAGTGTATCGACATCAGCGTCCTGTTCAGCCTCCATTGTGATTTCTTGTGCATGCACTAAGCCGTAATAGACACCCGCCTCTATCTTCAACAGCTCTTCGTGGGTGCCTTGCTCCACAAGCTGGCCTCGACGTAAGACGACGATCTTGTCCGCTCTTCTGATGGTGGAGAGGCGATGCGCGATGACGATAGTTGTTCGATTCTTCGATACGCGATCGAGAGCCTGTTGAACGATACGTTCTGTTCGTACATCTATAGCACTAGTCGCCTCATCTAGGATAAGTATAGCCGGCTGCTTGATGATACTTCGCGCGATGGCAACCCGTTGTCGTTGACCGCCCGACAGCTTGATACCGCTCTCTCCCACCAATGTCTCATAGCCTTCTGGTAGTTTGGCGACAAACTCTTCAGCATAGGCTTCGCGACATGCGTTTTCTACCATTTTCATCTTGTCTTCTTTTGGTAGGTCTTCGTATTGGGTACCTGTCAGACCGAATGCGACATTGTTGTATAGAGTATCGTTGAAGAGGAAGGGCTCTTGCTGGACCAGGCCAATCTGAGAGCGCCACCATTTTAGGTCGATATCCAGCAGATTGGTGTTCCCAATCCTGATGTCACCAGTGCAAGTGTTTGGACCCAACTCAGGCTCATCGTCTTTGCTCTTGTCATGTTCGACTGTTTCTGTGGATGCTTGTTTGTCTTCAGTCTTCGGTTCAGCTCGTTTCTTGAACCAGCTAGACTTCTTAGAGCCACCGCCCTTAGCTTTAGATGCGTCGTTGGGGGGCGACAAGTGGTCTTGGTCTGTATCAGATGGAACCGTGGCTGTCGTGCCTGATAGGTCGTACCATCTCTGTACCAGTCCTACAATAGTAGACTTACCTGAGAGTGGAAGCAAAAAATCAGTAACGATCAGACGGACTCGAATGGCCGAGATAACTTACCACTTCCAGACGGGCCGACGATAGCGGTGACTTTACCTGCCTCAAGCTCAAGATCAAGACCCCCAAGGATCTGAACATTTGGTCGGCTTGGATACGAGAAGGCAACATTATCGAAAATAATGTTTGAGTTTGCCGATATATCAGGCTCCTTTACTCCAGCAGTATTAGAGATGGGGGCATCGATTGTGATGAACAATTCGGTAGCCGCAGATGATGCCTTCGCGATAGCGATGATTGGGCTGACAACCCTGCTGATATTCATGATCGCCATCATGACAGAAAATAGGACCACAACTATGACCCCGATGTCGCTACTCTTGCCCTCTGAGTACTGCTTGATGCCAAACCAAAACGCGATAGCAAAAGTGCCGTACTGTCCAACCATCAAAGGCGACATCATGAGACCCATCAAAGGCGCAGCTCTACGCTCATTCTTGGCGGCTTTGTCTAGCAAACTTTCATGCTGCCTTGCCAGTTTCGCCTCTGCTCCGAAGGCAGCAACAATACGAACTGACGAGAACATCTCGAAAGCCATAGCCGAAGCATCTTCATGATGCTTCTCAGTGACCTTGTGTATTCGGATAAAAGGTGGTACTAGAGCACCCGAAATGATGAGGATGAACGGCAACGAAGCAGAGGCAACTACAGTAAGCAGCGGGCCTTTAACGAAAGCTACCACATAAGCTCCGATGACGAATGCGAGGGATTGGAAGAGCATAGCGAAATGCTGCGATATGGCCAGTTGAACTGTGTTGGAAGAAGTGGTAATTCGCGTGGAAACTTTGCCGGGGCTTATAGTGTCTATCACACTGACGGGTTGTGCAAACAAGGCTCGTAGGTAAGCTAGGCGAAGTGCAGCAGAGATTCGAAGACCACTGATTCGGATAGTGAGCTGTATCAGCGTTAGTGTGTTGATGGTTTATCTGAGACATATGTCTGTACCATTGCTATGTATGACAACACGAACTTCGCGATGAAGAGGTAGAGGAGAAACAGTGTGAGTCTGTTGATCTCCGCTTGAAATTCGCCAGCTGTCATAGTAGTCCCAGGAATAAAGTAGTTGGTAAAAGAACCGACCAGTTGACCTAATCGCAGTCAGTATCCCCTAAGTGTATCCCACATCCAGTGACGTCGGATCATACCGAAGACAACATTCATCAGTGGAAACGTGACGCCCGAGGCTATTGATGTGACACAGCACAGAAACATGAGCCAGAAGTCCAACTTGGATCCGTACGAGAAGACCCGCTGGTCATGTTAGCAATGAATCACGTCCAAGGCGGAGTACATACGAAGTAGTTCTTCAGACCTGCCTGCGGTACTTTCTTTGCTTTCATGGAGCTCTCTCCATCTTTCTCTACAGCCTCAGCGGCGCCCTGCTTTTCCTCGGTCCCTGTCTCAAGGACTTGAGTAGCGAGCGCAGCATTTTCTGCTTCAGCATTGGTCGTTGGTCGAGGTGGCAATCGATTGTCGGTGATACTAGAATCCATGACTCGGCTCAAAAGGGTGAGAACAAAGTTGTAAACAACTTGAGCAGAAGAGAAGAGTATATGAGGGTAGCAGAGGTGGTTATGTAAACGAGTGAACAAAAGTAGATGCCTGATGAAGCGGCTGCCGTATAGAGCGTATCCTGGTCTACATCGGCAGAAGTGGACCTATGTGCTCCGATCTGGCACGCACATCGCAAAAAGACGGAGTGAAAATGCAAGGTAAGGATCCGCAAGCAGGATAATCTCGAACCATCCTTCGCATGGGCGCCTTTTGGGGCTGAGTTCGTACGGACTTGGCGCAACGAACGACTGGCGGCGCTAACTGGCATACATCTCGCTTCACCATAGTTCTTCCCAATCGAGCGAATACCTGCGAGCTGAAAGGGGCAACGCGCGTCTGTCGTGTTTCAACATCCAGAGCCCTAATCAATGCGAATAAGAGAACTCGGCTAAAAAAGGACGCTCCGTAAATTTGGCCTCTCGCAAGTTGAGTCGAAATGAATCAGGCATACGAGTGATGGGTGAAACTTACCTAGAAAGTCTGATGTTACTTGCTCTCACATTGCCCTTGACGGAAGTCGGCGCCCGCAAGTCCGACGATACGTGAAAAGGGTGTGTTCACTACCTACAATAGCCGACACCAACCTTCACCGGTTCTGGCAATAGCCATGGCCAAGATATGTATTTAAGCGTGCCTGCAGAAATGACATACTGACAAAGTGGTCTTACATATACACATTCCAGGCAACACCTTAGCTGTCGCACCTGCAAGGACCAGCTCGTTTAAAGGGTAGCGATCACATTCATGAAAAGACGCTAGGAAACATCAAAATAGCGTTAGCATTCGCTATAGATTGGTGACGTAGGCGCATAGGGTCAGAGGGACGCGACACGGTTGTCTTTCTCCTCGATGAACGTCGATGCCACCTCAGAGCACGATCGAGTCTTGATATATCAATGAATGTAATGTATCTTCATGCTAGCTTTGCAGCTCGTCCAGTTCACCTCGACCACATTACCCCGTTTCCATCTCCCTTATAGCTTCTATGTTGGAGTTTCCCCTCGCAACCTCCTTTCTCCTCTCTAACCTTACCAAACTCTCGATCAATCGTTTCATGAGCCACTCACTTTCACTGATCCCAGATACCATGGGACTATCATTTCCAATCCAATCCCAGTTAACTAGACCTTCTTCGTTCTCTTCATCAAACGTCGTTGCACCGCTTCCAAGATCACGGTCCAGGCGCTCTGGACTGGTCAAGCGAATAAGTCGCGTGAACTCAACCCACTCCTCATACGTATAGCGTTTTCCATCGGTTTTCAGATCGAGAGAAACTTTTTGGATGGAAAGGGCGAGACGACGAGTAAGAGAGGCCCGGGTGGGGGGGTTTGTAATGTCAGTCTCGGCTTCATTGGCGAGAGCAAGAACAGTAGGGTGGCGAGTCAATTCTAAGTCGGTGGCTTCTTCGCGATGTTCGGGGTCATTCAGAATATCTTCTCGGTTCTGGAGGTCAGAGGAGGTTGCGGAACTGTCCTCTGATCTTGGATCTGCGATGCTGAAGCCCCTGATCAGCCTCTTCTTGCTCGCTCGGTACTCTGTCCACTGCTGCAGCCATCGCAGCAGCCAGGGATGCTTGTTCAGGAAGGAACGCCAGATACCTGCTTTAGGTAGTACCGTAAAGTCAGCGAGTTCGTCGCTCCACCTCTTAAAATTGGCAACAACCGTATCCCCTAGATCCGAAACCAAAATGGTCATGGTCGGCACGGCTATCAAGCTCCAGATGACGAAGAAGCAGCGCCCTGAATTGGATCTCGGTGCCAAGTCTCCATAACCAATAGTCAACAGACTGACATAGCAGAAATAGAGTGACTGGAAGTACGTCAAGTTCAGCGTTTCCTCTTCGGTCACCCAGAAGACGACCGCGCCAACACACCAGAGAATTGAAAATGTAGTGACGGACCAGAATAATGCCATCCAACGCTTGAACTTCTGTGAATCGGCCTGAATTTTGCGCATAGCTTCAAAGCGATCCTTCTCTTCTTTCAACAGCATGATCTTCGGTTTAGAGGAGGCTATACCAAAAGCATGAGCGACACGGGGAATAGTTGATGTACGCTGGACTGATTCGCCTACAAGCGTCCTGAGAGGCCGTGGCTCAGTAGGTGCTGATATCCGTGGAAAGCCAAGTTTACGTTTCCGGATCAGGTGGTGAGCTTCGCGCTCGCGATGTCGAAGATCAAACGAATTGGTAACTGTACGTTCTGCGACACGCTCGCGCATGCGATCAACATGCTTCTGGACGATTTTCTCGTCCCCAAGCTCGCGCACCGCTGTGTAAAGCGATGAGACGATGAGAGCTAGCGTTATTGTACCGCCTACAGAGTACGGAAATACAATACCCCTAGTGACGTCCGTCGTGGGTACTAGGTCGCCGAATCCAACAGTTAGAATAGTTGCGTCGCAAAAGTAAAGAGCATCGGCGAACCTCCAACTGTCTTCGCCAGCATCTTGCTCAAGTTTCGCAAAGATTGCTGCGCCGCCACCTAGCCAGATGAAGAAGGCCATAGTCTGTAATATGAGCGTCCTCTGACTGTCGCTCAATGCGAAGTTCTCTGGATAGTGACCCAGAAAGAAACCAAGCATGTTGACCATGAGAATCATGGAACAGATGGTGTAAAATGCTGCAGCCGCGATCGCATACCAAAATCCTTGCGTATACCCTTGTTCTGGTCGAATGGGTGGTTGGTAAGTGTTCATGCATATCGTTATTGCTATCAGAAACGCGGATGAAAGATACCATAGAACGACTGTAACAGGTAAAGCAATAGTGTAGCGGATCCTCTGTGTGAAGTTGAGGAGAAGGAAGAGGTTTCCAAGAAAACCGCAGATGAGTGAAGCTACGTTAATCCAGTAGCACCATCTCGGGTCGCCAAAAGGTACACCTTCGAAGTCTGAGACTCGGACGCCATCGATGATGTTTTGCTGCCTCCAGGGGGTGACGAGGGCAGCTATCGAGCTTACATTTGCCAGTGGACCGAGAGTTGCAGCGAGCAAAGGAATCCCGGTGCTGGCAAACCACCAGTCACTATCCTGCCCTTCCCATTTCTTCCACACGTTCCACCATCTTCTCCGATTGCTGTCTTTCAAAGACTTATGCTCTTTTCTTTTCTCGTTTTCTGATTGAGACGTGTGCTGCCTCAGATCGTTTGCTTGCTCCGGTTCTTCTTGTTCATGCGCCATCATTGGTGCGATGCAATATCGGACATCGTCAATCTACTATTTTAAATGTCTTTAGTGTCTTCAAATATGGCAGAAACCGTCCAGAACCCAAGATGAACCTGGCTTTCTTGACAGCACAAGGATTCGAGATTTGTGGAAAGCCGGTCAATATGTGCGGTAAGAATGTACGCCGATGACTAGATGCTTAGAAAGTGGCGCTAGGCGATGCAAGTACCTATTCAAGAAGCATCCACGGCTGGCGGGTAGATACGGAGGAAGATGTGAAAACCGAGAGAATAACGACGGTCTTACGCAGCGAAGTCATGGCCACGCGATTGACTACTCGGCTATCGCGGCGTGGTGGAGACCGATCGTGGGTGCGTGGGTGCTAGTGCCGATCAGCCGTTGACGCACGCCAAGCAGTCATTGACTAGGGATACTTGAAGATCCAAAATTAAGGATTCACATACTGTCAAGGACTGTCTAGAAAGCGCAGGACGTGCTCGTCTACATCATTTCAGAATTCACAATGAGGTATGGAAATCTGTCAGCATGATACTCGCGCCTGAACGTCTGAACAGTCAATGTTGTTCATCTTATTGATTTCTTTTCAAACTATGTACAACATGTATATATGGCACGCCCAGTGCTTACTGCGACTTGAGCTTCTCAGTCAACTCTGGGACCTTTTCGAAAAGATCTCCAACGAGACCGACGTCTGCGACCTGAAAGATGGGTGCCTCGGCATCCTTATTGATGGCTGCAATGACCTTGCTGTCCTTCATGCCTGCCAGGTGTTGAATAGCACCGGAGATACCAGCACACAGGTATAATTGTGGCGCAACGTTCTTTCCAGTCTGGCCTACTTGTAAACTGTTGTCCGCAAAGCCACTGTCGACTGCTGCTCTTGATGCACCGATAGCCGCACCGAGCGCATCTGCTAGCGGTGGCATGAGCTTGTCGAACTCCTCCTTGGACTTCAGACCACGACCTCCCGAGACAACTTTCTCTGCCGAGCCAAGGTCTGGACGGTCGGACTTCTGGAGGTCTTCGGATATCCACTCTGTCGAGCATTCGGCCTTGGGGTCAATGCCCTCCTCCACTGTTGCGTTTCCACCTTCGGTCTCGGGCGCAGGGAATGCGGTGCCTCGGACGGTGATAACCTTGGTGCTATCCGACGATTGAACTGTCATGATGGCGTTACCAGCGTAGATTGGGCGGACAAATGCTATGATCTGGTCAGCATCTCTTGGTAAACGATACAGGATGCTCCCTCACTGTCTTCCCCCTCAATGTCGGTAATGTCTGATATTTGCTGTGTATCCAACAGCGCCGAGACACGGGGCATTATGTTCTTTCCAAATGCTGAGTGACCGGCAACGACGTGTGTGTATCCACCCTTCTTGATGTTTTCAACCAGGAGTGGCGCATAGTTCTCAGGAAGACACTGCAAGATGCTGTCAGCCCTAGGACACCCAATGCCGCTTTGGACAACCGACCCTATCATATGCTCCATTCTCAACGTAGATGACCTTCTCTACACCCTTTGACTTGGCTGCCTCATCTGCGGCCGACTTGACCCCACTTCCAGCGACGAAGGCTGTTATTGAGCCTCCGAGTTTTGTTCCTGCCGTGATGGCAGCCAATGACTGTGATACAATCTTTCCCTCCTTTTGCTCGAGAATGGCGAATGTTGACGCGAAGCGTGCGAAGGCCGAGTATTGGGGTACGACGGTGGGTTGCGACTGCCGAAGCTGTGTTCGCGCTGTGCGGAGGGCGGACTGACGTGCGGCAGCGAACATGGTGGGCGAGAATAATGCAACGCCACTAGAATCGAACAAGGCGCAGAGTTGGAAAAAAAGGTGAGGTAGAAGGCCTCGTCCAAGAGTGGTGAAAGTAGCCCAAACGGCGCGGAGAACTACAGAGTATGACCTCGGTTTGACCAGGTTAGTTGTCCGGCACTAGCCCTTGCATGCGGAGCTGCAGACTGGTCACGTGAAAAGGCTGCTTGCTCCTTAGTGCTCTTTTTGCTTAGGCGTTGGAGAGCATCGCGAACTTCAGACGCGACATCCACCCACCCATCGCAGCCGCCCATCCCCACCTTCATTCAACAACGACCACGCTGCAACACGTTGGTCACCACACGTTGCGATCGCGCACTCTTTGTCATCACCGGCGCCCCGCGATTTCCCCTTTGCAGTACCGCATAGCGCCTTCCAGCTCCCGTCGCATCGCAACTGTTGCATAGCACTGCCTAAGCCATGGCCGACGACGCGACAGCAGGCGCAACTGCGCGGGACCCAAGTCTTACTGGAGAGGGGGCTCCAGTCGTCAATGCGCTCGATCAAGGTAGGCCAAATTCCCATTCCAAGCACCACGATGCCAATCCCCAGTCGCGTCAACAACATGGACGGCTGGCTCAACGGCGATTATCTCGCTGCCATTCCTCATGTCCCTGCACTGCAAGACTCGAGGCGAACATCCGACACCCCGGATTCCGGAGATATCAGCCCACTGACTTCCCTAGATACCAACATGCTCGAAGACGCACCCGCCAAGGAGTCTTCCAACGAACCCGCAACTGCTACGCCAGCACAAGTATCAGACAACCCCTTAGACGCACCTGATGGCCCACGACCAGAAGCCGATGACGCCGATGGCCAGGACGACGAGGAGATGGGTGGTGTCGAAGATGCCAAAAAGGAGAATGGCGAGGGCGCTGAACCCGCGGATCCAGAAGCACAAGCAAAGGCCGACCTACAGTCGGCGGCACGCTCACACTTTGTCACCCAGACATATGCGACCATCATCCCCAGCTACGCAACCTGGTTCGACATGCGCTACATTGACTACCGTGAGCGCAAAGCCTTGCCCGAGTTCTTCAACGGCCGCAACCGCAGCAAGACGCCTGCCGTATACCGCGATTATCGTGATTTTATGATCAACACATACCGCCTAAACCCGTCCGAATACCTCACAGTAACTGCGTGCCGAAGGAATTTGGCAGGTGACGTTTGTGCTATCATGCGCGTACATGCTTTCCTCGAGCAGTGGGGATTGATCAACTACCAAGTAAACCTTGCCGCTCTAGCATCACTCTGAAGCCACGGTTAACATTCTCTCTAGGTCGACCCTCAAGAACGCCCATCAAACATTGGCCCACCTTTCACCGGCCATTTCCGTGTCACTGTTGACACACCTCGCGGACTGCAACCTTTCCAACCTGGTCCAGGCTCCAAAGTTACAGACGGAAAGCAGCTCACAGCCACCGACCGCGCCGCGAGTGCGCAGCCCACCGCGAAAAGCGAGACCAAGTCCCTGGCTGGACGAAACATCTACGAGGCCAATGGCAAAGAGGCTTCCGCAGAGCCAAAGACCGCTAACGGTGAAGGTGCTGCGAATGGCCCCGTCGACGTTAAGGATCTTGAAGCTGCTGCCAAGGAGCCAATGAAGGTCATCAACTGCTTCAGCTGTGGTGTCGAATGTACCCGTGTACACTTCCACGAGACGAAACCTTCTGAGCAACCTGGACAAATGAAGGCCGCAGGTGGTCTGAAGCGCGATCTCTGCCCCAGGTGTTTCGTTGAAGGCAACTTCCCATCTGGTACGTCTTCGGCAGACTTCACAAAGATCTCCAACCCGGACAACTCGGCAGCGGCCGAGACAGAAGAGAAGTGGACGGAAGAGGAGACCCTTCTGCTACTTGAGGGCCTAGAGGAGTTCGATGATGACTGGAACCGTGTTGCCGACCACGTCCAGACAAAAACCCGCGAGCAATGCGTGATGAAGTTTCTGCAGCTCGAAATTGAGGACAAGTACATTGAGGCGGATCTACCAGAGTCACAGTCTGCAGCCCCTTCGACCAAATTCCTGCGTGATTTGGATTACCTCAGCGAAGGTCGTGTACCCATCCACCATGCTGACAACCCAATTCTCAGCGTTGTCAGTTTCTTGGCTGGTCTTGCACCTGCAAACGTCACAGAGGCAGCTGTAGCGTCAGAGCGTAGCGTTGGCGAAATGAAGCGCATCCTGCAAGAGAAGATTAACAAAGCCCCAACTGCACCATCGGAGAAGGGCAAGGAGAAGGAAGGCGAGCAGTCTACACCCGCAGCAACTGCTTCAGACATGAAGCCAGAAAGTGGCGATGCCATGGATGTAGACCCTTCCGCCGATTCGACCGCTATAGCCACCAGGGAATCAGACTCGTCAAACGCCAACCCCCTGGCGACCCTCCCCTTCGCTCTTTCTGCCGCCCGTTCCTCAGCACTAGCATCGCATGAAGAACGCCACATCACTCGCCTCGTCTCAGGTGCAGTCAACCTTCAACTCCAAAAGCTCCAACTCAAACTCGCACACTTCAACGACTTTGAGAAACTACTTTCCGCCGAGCGTCGTGACCTGCAACGCCGTCGCCAGCAACTCTTCATGGACCGCCTCAACTTCCAGAGGAGAGTCCGCGCATTGGAAGATGCTACCAAGCGCATCAGCAGCTCCATGGGCGGCCAGGGTCTGCCTGGTAGCATGAGCAACGAAGAAGCTGTTCAAGCCCTGACTGAAGCTATGAGGATGTTTGGCGTTGGCAAAGGCGAGGATAGCATGGGTGTCAAGCGCGATAGCGTGGATGCTGACGTTGCTCAACCTATCGCTGAGGGTGCCGAGGGCTACAGCAAAGTGGAGATTTAGAAGCATCTCAGCGCGGACGATGTGTATGAGACGAGTGTCTATGATTCAAAGTCTGGGTGTGCATATGAGATGCTTCCGTACTATCGACAAGGAAGAAATGACAAAGATGTCGTTGATAAGGGGGAAGACGATTGGGGCAAGTCAGAGGCATACAAGCGTCAGGACAGTATGACGCCTCAACTTGGGATTGACGGTTGTTGGATTCGTTGGAAGGTGTTTTCTGGCGTATAAACGAGTGAGTGCCTGCAAAGAGTCATGCTACATGGCCTGATATGTTGAACCTTCCTGTTTTTCTTTTGGCAGACTCCGAGTCCTGCTGTATAGTAGTTTCTATTATCAAAGACGATGCAAATCATTCTCGAAGCCCACAGAACCCATGGTATGAAAGTGCTTGAGTGTATGATGAGAACTATATATACTATACATGAGTTTTCCTAGTCGTCAGTAGCAGGTAACGTAAGCCTCTTCTTCTCCAAACATGCTGTACAGATAGTATAATACAATGCCATCGCTTTCATATCACGTCTCCATCCACGCATACCCTATAAGTACCCTACTTCCTCTCTAACTTTTCTGTTCCCTTCGCATTCTCGTCATGGCTAGCTTTGGGTACCATGCTCTCACTTTCACTGACAGGCTCTTGGCTCTTGACCTGGTTCTTTGCCTTGTTCGCCCTCTCAGTATCGTTGTCACCCTTTGGCTTTTGCTTGCTCTTCTCCTTCTCCTTCTCCTTTTCGCTGTCTAGGCTGCTCATGTCTCCCCTTGCGTCGTAGATTGGGTTGTGCTTGGCATTTGGCTTATATTCCTCAGGGACTAGGCTGTTCTCGTGTGGGGTGTGAGGCTTCGAGCTACGCTCACTAGAAAACTTGCCCTTGGCTGAGGCGGCATGATCGTTGGCGGCAGGTTGTGATGTGGAGTCGGACTGCGCGTTGGAAGATAAGGTGTCCGATGGCGGGGCAGAAGTAGGCAGAGAGCGAGGTTGTGTTTCCGTGGAGGCTGTCATGTCATCTTCCTCGTCGGCATCAGAGTCTAGCTCTGAACCGTAAACTTCAGGATATTCGCGGAAGCAGTTTTGCATGTCCCTATGACGCGTAAGTCATCCATCCCATAGTAATTCTCGCAAGCTGTCGAGGCTCCATTGTCATGATGTGGACTTACTTGAACTTGTCGATGCAGTCCATGCCCTTGGGCTCTTCGGTAGAGTACACAAAGCAGCTGAAGGCTGCCTTGAATTGCTCACCACAAGGCCCATGAGCCATACCGCCCAAACATGGGCAATCCCAATTGATCTCGCCTGTCTCTGGGTTGAATGCGCCTTGTTGATCTGCCTCCTCTTCGAGCCCTTCTATGCCGCCCTGGCCATCCTCTGAAGGCTTAGTATTCTGTTGTGCATTCGCAGCCTCCTTCTGCTTTTGAGAGTCTAGTTGTGCCTGTACCGCTTGTCTCCGCTTGCGCTCTTCGGAGATAGATTCGATGGTTGGGAGGTGTTCGGATTCGACTTCGGTCTCTGGGAGGGCTTGGGCAAGTTCTGAAGACAGGATTAGTTTCTTTCGTCCGGCTACACCGTCCACCGAGGTCCAAACATACGTCTTGGCTCTTCCGCGAAAACGTCTGTGGTATTGTAATAGTATATTATTGCTCCCGCAATACTGACTCTCGCAACTAGACTCTTGAAACTTCTCGACTTTTGTGATGGTGGAGCGGTGCTGAGGTACCGTCTGGCCGGCGCGGCCGACCGTAGTGGCGCGATCCGCAGCGCTGGACGCGCAATTAACCGTGGGGCTGCACGAAACATGATGCCAAAGGACGTGAAACAGAAAGAAGATGTAAGGAGAGAGTCGTGGCGGATGTCAACGGTCCATGCAAGTGTCGTCACTACGTAAAAGTTATGGGACCTGCATTTCTAAGCGGAAAGAGCAGGGATCTGCGCGGCTGGAGATCCCGCATCACGTGGAAGAACTTTGAAGAATTCTGGTCATCTCGAATACGTTCGCCATGATGCCTGGAATCTGCTCGTGTGTTGCATTTTGCCGACATACTGACGAACATGTGCTTTCAAGGTAGTGTAATCGACATGATGTTCGAACGGGTATATTGAACGTTGACCTCATATATACAAAAGTGGACTGATAGAAGCGTCTCGCCCCAAGACCGAAACCAAGTAGAGAACCTCTTGCTTGCTGTATGGTACTGCGAGAAAGTAAAAGTAGCATAGCCAAATTGGTACAGTCCAGATGATCAAGATCTCAGTACGAATTTGTTGTATGAAAACGCTATTGAAGTGAAGTGCGAATCTGAAAAAGACGATCGAATGATGTCTATTTCGGGGGGTTGCGCTTGAAGAAGTACCTGTTAAGACAATTAGCACGCAAATCCGTATAGCGGTTCTCTTGAGAGTAACATACTGGCTGACATAGTAGTCGCCAACACCAAACAGTCCAATGACAGCAGCCCATGCTGCGACGACCTTGCCGGTCAACTCGCCGCGAACATACTGCCTGTATGCGCCGAATCCAACAATGCCACCAACGACGGCCAGACCGACCGCATTGCTCAGCACAACCGGGTTATCGGCGTTTTTCTTCACCTTCTCCTTCGCGGCATCCTTCTTTGCAGCAGCCCGTTCTTTGACGTTCTTGACTTCTTCCTTGATTTCCTCTTCGCGTTCGATGCGCTCAGCCTGAGTGTCGGTCTTGATTTCTTGCGACTCGTAGTCGGAGGGAACGGAAGAAATGTGCGGGCTGTCTACGTCGACAAGGGAGTGGACGCTATCATCAGAGGCGTGCTCGACTTGCGGTTGAGCTGGGGCGCGACTGTGAGTACATGTTAGAACGACTTTACAGCTCAAAGCCTTGAAGCTCATTGCTCGTGTTTTGAAGACCGTAGGGTACCACGGCATGCCGCGAACTATCCTAAGCAGTCGCCTTCGCAGACAAACGACTACAAGAAGATGAAAGGTATGACTTACGCCTGTCTTTGAGTTAGCATTGACCCAGGTTATGCAGTGCTCTTGACAGACTTACCTCCTCGGGGCTCTGCTTGGGGCCCTTGGCAGCCATCTCTGCGTAAGACATGATGTATGGAGGGGGTAGTAGTTCTGTAAGGGGCAAGGGTTGTGTCGTGAAAAGGCCGAGTGCGTGGTTTGCAGATCAGTCGAGGAGTAACGGGAAACTATGGGAAGTTGATGAGCGATCGTGTGAGACCGGAAACAGGCTCCCTCACATGCTTGTTCGCTTAGTGGGCGGTAACCGACGACGTCATCCTGAGCGCGTTAGCGGCGACGTAGCGAAACCGCCAAGCACAGGAACAGCACATCCTTGTGGAGCATGTGAATGATCACTAAGTCTAGGTCCCGGCCCGCATGCGTGCTGAAACTATCATCTCAACTATTCATTATATACTGCGGCCTACGCTCAATTGACCAAGCAGAAAAGGCCCAAGGGTATAATAACAATTTCCATCATTGCCCTCAATATACACCTCACGGCCCTTGATACAGACAGGATCCAAAACTGTGCAGGCTCGTATGGTACACGAAGACAAGGACAAAGCAACCCTTGAACATCGGGCCCGTAACGCCCGCTGTAGATACACATGCTGAAAATGGAAACGATATAACAGAAGGATAAGACTTCTTCAACTACCATGGCAGTGTCTTATGAGCAAATTGCTCATCTCATTCATCGCCAAACACTGTCTTGTAGTTCTCCAGTAGAGCTTGTACGGCGACGCGCTGCTGTTGCACATCGGTGAGTTCGCGCTGGATGTCCATGGGCCGCATGATGGTTGGCGCAAAGACGACGGCGACATTGAGTGGTGTCATCTGTCAAGTGTTAGTCATCACGTATTTGGAATGCACACTGTGTATACATACCAAGTTGTCGCTGGCGTGTTGTATGACGCGCGACAAGTGGAACACAAGGAACTGTAGTGTATCACGGTGAGCCTTGGGGATCTCGTTCACAGCGGCAGACAAAGCTTTGGCTTGGGCATTCGGCTCCTCAAGTTCTGTAGATCCATTAGCGCCTGCTTTATCTTTCGAGAGCATGTACTTACGGCCCGCTTCCAGGAACTGATCGTAAACGTCATACGTAATCAATGGCACAGGAAGCCTGCGGAAGTAGTTCTTCAGCGCAGAAGTGACTGAATGAATGTCCAAATCAGGGTCTGAGATATCATGCTCGGTGTCCGTCTCGAAACCACTACGGACTTGGTTCACCTGAGAAGTTCCTCCACTCTTACGATAGATGCCTTCCACATCCATACCGCGGAGCTCGACCTCTTCGATGCATCGACTGACAATGCGTGGAATCATCTGCCGTTCAAACTCACAGCGTGCAGTCAGATCAGATCCGAAAAGCACGGTACTGGCGTCGGCAGCAGCCAGGTTAGCAGTACTGGTGTTGTTATTCTGCATGGGCCTGAAGCCAGCTTGGGGTGGTCCGCCTGGTCGAACGTTTCCGGGCTTTCCACCGAACCAGCCGCGCGGAGTTCCTTGGTCCATAGTATCTCGACTCTTGATGGAACTAGACATGGACATGGATGCGATGTCAGGCCCGGAGTGCACGGATCCATACGGTGTACCAATGACCTTGACGTTGTAGTCCTCCTGCTTCTGCTCTGAACCGAACGCGCCCTTGAAGCCCTTGGTGACGTTCTTTGTAATGGCCTGCCCACCCTTCTTCCATGTTGAAAACTTGGTAGGCTTTCCAGTCTTCCTGATGTTGACAACCTGCGGCTGAGCGACTGTCGCCTCAGTATCGTCATGGAGATTGGCATAAGAGTGCTCATGGGGTATTGGCTGTGTATCTACTGATACTTCTGACTTGCCACCCTTTTGCTGCGCGTTGTATATGCCTAGGCCATTCGCAGCCACGTCAAGATTCTGCCCAGGCTTCTTGTTGTTCTTGAGATTTGTCTGTATGTTGTCCACCAAATCCCTATTCATTGCGGAGAGTCTGGCATTAGCAGCCGTAAGCGATTCATACTCTTGGAAACCTTTGTCTTTCATCTGTATGAGATTCGAGATCTCTTCTGTCAAATCCGACCTTTTCGTAATGAGGTCTTCTATTTGATTCCCCAGATTATCTTTCAGTTTCTGCAGCGAGCCTGCAAACTCTTTAAGAATGTCTGACTTGAGTTGGTTGATCTCAATGTTGCCCTGGTTGCTCTTGGCTTTCTTGAGATGTTCAGTCATGATCTCTAATTCGCGAATCACCATCTCGCGTTGCGTATCCAAGACTGCCATTGTGTTTCGCTTCTCTCTCAGAACCGTGTTCGCTTGTTTGATGTCGGCTGCGCTGTGCATCGATTCTTGTAGCCCATTCTTTTCAGCTTCGAGCTCTGCGATCCGCTGCTGAGCGCGGCGCAGCTCGTTTCGCAGATTGACGCCTTCTTCTTTGGTATCCGGCGAGGCAACTGTGGGGCTGCTAATGTCGATCGAGCCGTTCGTAGGCCATTTCTTGTGACCTCGCGACGTGACAGAGCCACGATCACTGAAACTGCGTCCATGCTTAGAGACAGCGTTCGAGACCCTCCTGAAGACTCCGGTCTCTTTATCGTCTCTGCCATCCTGGCTTCCAAGCAAGCGCGCGAAGTCCTCGTCCATGGAGAAATCGCCCTGGTGGCTATACCGGGGAAGGCCACCAGCACCGTATGCTTCTCGAGATGCTTCGCTTTGGGCACTGCTAATGGATTCATTTGTCTTGTGGTGTTGTACAGTGGGCGGTTGTGGGGGTGCGCGTGGAGATGTGAATGTGTCAGTCGAAGGTTGTGCAGGACGCCCACCTGATCGCGCAGGAAGCGCAGGCGGATCTGATGGAGTTTTAGAGGATGGCGAATCTGCAGGACTGAGTATACCAAGCCCCGCGTTGAGGTTCGCACTTGCTGTGTTTGTGGATGATGTTCGCTCGGGATGGTTGAGGGTAGGCGTGGTGGGTGACGGGCTAGGTCTTTCGTTTCGCGAAATGGGAGCTGATGGCTTCAGAGCCGAGGATTTGAGCGAATCGCCACGCGCAGGTCGTTCTACTACAAGGTTGGATCCGAACGACGATTCCGAGGTTTGCGGTGAGTCCTGCGAGCCAAGTGGTGGAGAAGATGTGAACGTAGGTTCAATCAGCGGGCGGCTCAGCCGCGCAGACATAGTGTCGTTCTTGGAGGAAGTAGGCAACTGCATCCGTTCCTGTGGCTGTGGTGACGGTGTTTCGTCAGAGTCCTTGCGTTTGGCCTCGGCCTTCTTATTCTTTGGGACATCCTGTAGCTTGAAGGGCTCCGCAGCTGAAGGAGCGGGAGAAGCGTGCTGACTTCTCGACCGGGGCTCAGCTGAAGGCGATTCATTAGAGCTGTCCTTCTTCTTCCTGAGCGTCTCGACCAGTGTGTCTGAAGGCTGCCTTCCTTTTTCCTGGAAAGCGATGTGCGGGCTCTGGGTGGTTTGTGTTTGGCGTCTCTCTTTAGAGGCTTCTCGGGAGCTGTTTTCCTTCAATTTCTCGCGATGATCGCCGGTAGGCCTGCTGAAGTAGTCGCGGCCGTTCTTAGTGGCGCCATTTCCACTGGACTTAGCTCCTAATGCTTGGTCGTTGAAGCGGCTAATGGGTCGGCCAAGTGGTGACGGGCCTGGCGCAGGGTTGGGGTCCAGAGCAAAAGGTAGAAGGATACCGTCGTCGCCATTGTCTACAAGTTCTGAACGCGTATGGTTGTCTTTGTTGTATGTTGTTGCGGGGAGCGTTGTGTTATCTGTGAGTGAAAGTGTCAGCTAGGCATAGAAATTGGCGTAATCCAGATGATGTTTACGTACCCCTTCGTGAAATATCTCCAATTGGCGAGGCATCTCGCCTAAAGTTGGATGATGAGTCGCCCCGTCGTGGCTGAGGGGGTCTCGGAGATACGTCGGTCGTGGTGGGTTCCGAAAAGACATCGGATGGCGTGTCGAGGTCTGGGGTGAAGGTAGAGGTCGCCTGCTCTTGGGGAGGCAGAGCAGGCAAGGATTTATCCACCTTGGGTGCGACCGAGGGTGGCTTTTTGGATTTCTTGCGCCGTCGAGCCATGAGCGACTCATGGCAGGACATGCAGAAGATACCCTGTGAAGTGCGGGCATAGCGCAGATTCTCAATCTTGCGCTTGCAATTCCGGCACCTGAAGCAGTTGGCACAGAAGGCCTGGTCGCCGGTCAAGATGGCCAGATCCTCGATTTTGTTCCCGCAATGGTTGCAGCTGTATGTGCAGTTATTGCATATCAGAGAGCCGTCGCCGAGCAGCAACAGGTTCGCATCCGAGTCGAGGAGGGTGCCGCACGTGTTGCAGCGGAAGCAGTCAATATGCCATCGGTTTCCGGCTGGGCAATGTTAGCATACGACAAGCTCGGACGGTGGTCTGGGGGGAGTGGTGGTGGGAGAAAGGCGCGAGGGTGGAGGTGTCCCAGCGGGGAATACATACCGAGTTCAAAGGCCTTGCCTTCCTCGAGGATCTAGACTGCTATGAGCGGATGAAGAGAGACTTGCGGGGCGGCTGGTCATACCTCTCCGCATCCCTTGCACGGATATACGACCTCGTCCTCGATCGGAGACTCTGGGTAGGCCCCGGGACTCTCCATGGTGTGCTAGCAATGTATGTGTCGGTGAAGGAACAATGGTGGCGGACAGCGCGAGTGCTGCCGCGTGGTTGTCGTCGGGCTTGTGCAGGAGCTGAAGGGACAATTCGCAGACGGGCAGCGTCGTGGACGTCGTGGTTCCGCAGGTCGTCTGGGCGATCCCAAAAGTTCGCTCCACGGTACCAGGCGAGAGAAAGGTCGAGAGTGGAAACGGCGCAAAAGCAAAGTCAACAGCTGGAAGGAGCGTCGGTGCACTGGCGAACGGCTTCTGTGCGCGACGAGGGCTAGTTAGTCGACGAGACAGCTGCACCTCACAGGCGTCGGTCCCCTCAGGCGTGTGGTGGTGTGGAGGTGAATAGCCAATGGGCGGGTTAGTGCGCTTTCAGGGTCCTGAGAAAGATACGCGGCAGACGAATCCATGCGACAAGGGACCACATGCGATATCAAGTGAAGGCCTATATCAGCCTCTGCGAGATTTGGCCCTGCCTC